GTCTAAAAATGGCTACTTCAGTTTCTTTTCTATTGAGATAATACAAATGAACTCCTTAAGGATTCTGAACGAAAGAAAAATACCATCTTTTCAACTTTTTCTAAGAAAATTTCTCTGGTTTAGTTTTTGTTGTAATTTTTTTTTGTTTGGCTGTGGTGGTACTTTTTTAAAGGTATTTTTTTGAATGCATGCCTTCTGGAGATAGCAAAGAACTCGAATAATGCAAATACTTCAATTAAAACCTTCTGGTGTAACCAACTCTTGCACATTTTTCCATTGTTTTGTTCCTATTGAATGCTCCCTTCCAGCTAATTTCATTTTCATTCYGACTTAACAGCATTATAACAAAAGCTAGGTTTCCTAGTAAAGAATGGATTTTTTAAACCCCTTCTACCTTGAAACACATAATATATTTTTGCGARGATATTCTGCTTTACCACAAGCCCACATGTTATAAGCTTTATACAAGATCTAGAAATATATGTAATAGTATCATGCTTACCATGACAAAACTCTCTTCAGGAGTAGAATAATCTGCATCTTTTTGAAAGGTTCTACCTGACCTGGTCACTTACAGCAACATAAAATCATTGTGAGATAAAGGGGGAAAAAAATCTCAACAAAAAACCCCTACAAAATGTTAACATCACAGTTAATTATTCTGACTTGTAGAATTTGTGATGAATGTTTTCAGAACCTTAAATTTTCAAAAACCTGCATGCTTTTATTGCCATTTAAAATTTAATTTTAGATCAACTTTTTTATTAATTTAGTTGACAAAAGTTCATCCAAGCATGAACTGTTAAACTTTACTCAATACAAGGATGAGCAACAGTGTGTGACAAAACTTAAAGCTTATTCAGCTTCTGAACTACTAAGCAAACATATAATGCAGAATAAGATGAATTTTGAGCTATAATACTCACTGACAAAAGTTCAGTAAAATCTTCTCTTCCTACTGGTGAAAYGCCAATTTCCTTATAGAATGTAACTTTTAAAAAATCCTTTTAAAAATAGCCAGTCTACTGGCTTGTGTTTGAAAAAATAGGTTACAAAACCTAAACTTGGCCTTTTCATAGGTAATGATCTTTTTTATTCTGCTCTGAAATAATTGTTGAC